AGAAACTTCAGCAAAACAAGGCTCAGGACAACCGGCTTCGACCAGCTAGGTTTGAGAGGGTTGGAAGGAGAAAACAAACACACAATGGAGGCCATCAGGTTTTCTCTAAGAGGAAAGACAAAAAGGCAGAAATCACATGTTAAGAAGGGGAAGGGAAGTCTGAGATTGTCATCAATGTATGATCTCATACAATGACAAAATTAGTTATCTGCATTTAACCCATCACACCTGGGATACACCCAGGTGGAGCAGTGGGCAGCTATGTAGGCAGGCGCCTGGGAGCAATTAGGGATTAGTTGTTTTGCTCAGAGACACCACGACATGTGGAAATGGCTGGGGATTGAATCTGGGACTTTCTTGTCCCCGGTCGGCTGCCGTACTTCTACCCCATCTCGGCCCCGAAAGAAAGAAAGAATAATTACAAATACAAACTATTCATTTGTATGCATTTGTAACAGTTCATTTGATGAAATGAGATCAATTAGTCCTCCAGTAGTCTAAGGTTATAGCAGCATAGGATAAAGAAAAGGTCAGATGACCGACGACTAATTATAGGATTTATCAAAAAGGAAAGTCTTTAACCCCAGTCTTAAAACTGGACAATGTGTCAGCCTTATGGACAGAAACTGGAAGTTGGTTCCACAAGAGAGGAGCCTGATAACTGCAAGCTCTGCCTCCCTTTCTGCTTTTGGAAACTCTAGGAACCGGAAGTAAGCCTGCAGCCTAAGAGCGAAATGTTTTGTTAGGAAAATATGAAACAATAAGATCTGTAATATAAGGTGGAATTAGGTTGTTGAGAGCTTTGTAGGTTAGAAGTAAGATTTTGAATTCTATTCTGGATTTGATGGGGAGCCAATGGAGAGAAACTAAAACTTAAGAGATATGGTCTCTCCTATCAATTCACATTAAGACTCTGGCAGCAGCATTTTGGATCAACTGAAGACTCTTTAAAGAAGTATGTGGACACCCAGATAATAAACCATTTCAATGGTCCAACCTAGACGTGACAAATGCTTGAACAGTTTTTCTGCATCATTTTTAGATGTTTGTAATTTTAGTGATATTACGCAGGTGGAAGAAGGCAGTTCTAGTAACGTTTTTAATGTGGGGGATAAAAGACATGTCCTGATAAAAAAATAACACCAAGATTTTTAACATTAAAACTGGAGGCCAGATTAATTCAATCTAAGGAGGGAGAAACACTAAAAAGTTTATTCCTAAGATGCTCAGGTCCAAAAACTAAAACCTCAGTTTTGTCTGTGTTGAACAGGAGAAAATTAAGTGTTATCCAGGTTGTTATGTCTTTAAGACATGCTTGTGGTCTCAGTAGCTGTTTGGATTCACTGAGTTTCATGGGCATATATAACTGAATATCATCAGCATAACTATGACAATTTATCCCATGCTGTTTAATAACTTTACCTAATGGAAGCATATATAAAGTAAAGAGTACTGATCCAAGCACTGAACCCTGAGGAACTCCATGACTAACTTTGGTGTAAAAAGAAGATTTATTATTTACATTTACAAATTGGAATTTATCAGATAGATATGATTTAAATAATTTTAGAGCTGTTCCTGTAATTCCAATATCATATTCAAGCCTCTGTAGTAAAATATTGTGATCAACTGTATCAAATGCAGCACTGAGGTCTAACAGGACCAGTATAGACACAAGTCCATTGTCTGAGGCCATGAGAATATCATTAGTCCATCCATCCATTATCTTTACTCGTTTATTCCATTTTGGGTCACGGGGGTCGCTGGTGCCCATGTCCAGCAATCACTGTGCGAGGGGCGGGGTACACCCTGGATGGGTCACAAGTCCATCACAGGGCCACATAGAGACAAACGAGACAAACAACCATTCACTCTCTCACTCACACCTAGGGACAATTTAGAGTTGAATATCATTAGTGACTTTTACTAATTCTGTTTCTGTTCTCCTGTGCCTCCCTGAGAACCCAAGATATCAGCTCTCCGCTTCACACAGAGGGCTGTGGTAGTTGGGTGGTCTGTGGTTGCGTCAGGAAGGACATCCGGCGTAAAAATAATTGCCAAGTCTTCGTGTGACTTAGTTCGCTGTGGTGACCCCTGTAGAAGAGAGCAGCCAAAATAGAGAGAGAGAGAAAAACTAGTGCTGTTTCTGTGCTATGATGATCTCTAAACCCTGACTGAAACTCTTCAAACAGATTATTTCTTTATAGATGTTCACGCAACTGACCTGCAACTATGTTCTCTAGAATTTCTGAGATTAAAGTTAAATTAGATATAGGTCTATAATTGGCTAGGATTCCTGAGTCAAGGTTATGTTTCTTAAGTAAAGGTTTAATTACAGCAACCTTAAAGTTCTGTGGTACATAACCATTCATTAAAGACAAATTAAGTAGATCCAAAATGTGGACAATAATTAGGGGAAACACATCTTTAAACAGTCTGGTTGGGATGGGATCTAGCAGGCATGTGGATGGTTTGGATGAGGTTATTATTTTTGACAATTCAGAGAGCTCAACAGTACAAAAACTGTCCAAACATAAATCAGGCTCTAGTGACAGTTTTAAAACTGTATCATGTGACAGTGAACCAGAGGCAATAGTAAGAAGGATGGTTGAATGTTCTCCCTCATTGAAATAATTTTATTTATAAAGAATCTCATGAAGTCATCACTTCTTATAACCCTAGGGATAGAATAAAAATGGTTCCCGGTTCCACAGAGCTCAGGTCTTCAGACTGCCATGAATGTATAAGGTAGGGTATAGGTAGTGTATGGTAGGGTAAGGTATAAATAAAGGTTGAATAAAAAAAAGTTTTTTTTTCTTGAACATGAAATGATCCAAAGCACACAGTGAAGGCTTAGGGACAACTCTGTGAATGTCAGAGTGGACCAGCCAGTCCACTGACATAATCACAATGAAACATCTCTGGAGGACCTAAAATCAGCAGTCCATCAATCAGCAATTGGTTTTTGGACCTGAGCATGTTACGAGTAAATTTTTCAGTTTTTTAACTTTCTCTAAATTACATTAATCTATCCTCCAGCTCTAATGTTAAAAACCTTGGTGTTATTTTTGATCAGGACATGTCTTTCATCTCCCACATTAAAAACGTTACTAGAACTGCCTTCTTCCACCTGAGTAAATCACTAAAACTAGAAACATATTATCTAAAAATGATGCAGAAAAACTGGTCCATGCATTTGTCATGTCTAGACTGGACTATTGCAATGGTTTATTATCTGGGTGTCCAAATACTTCTTTAAAACGTCTTCAGTTGATCCAAAATGCTGCTGCCAGAGTCTTAACTGGAGTTAGTAAGAGAGATCATATCTCTCCAGTTTTAGTTTCTCTCCATTGGCTCCCTGTCAAATCCAGAATAGAATTCAAAATCTTACTTCTAACCTACAAAGCTCTCAACAACCTAGCTCCATCTTACAAAGTACATTACAGATCTTATTGTTCCATATTTTCCCAACAGAGCACTTTGCTCTCAAACTGCAGGTTCACTTGCAGTTCCTAGAGTTTCCAAAAGCAGAATGGGAGAAAAATCTTTCAGTTATCAGGCTCCTCTCTTGTGGAACTAACTTCCAGTTTCTGTCCATGAGGCTGACACATTGTCCAGTTTTAAGACTGGGCTTAAGAGTTTCCTTTTTGATAAATCCTATAGTTAGTCGTTTTGGTTCTCTGACCTATTCCTTATCTCATGTTGCTATAACCTTAGACCACTGGAGGACACGTTGACCTCATTTATCAAATGAATAGTTACAAATGCATAAACAAATGGTTTGTATTTGTAATTATTCTTTCTTAACATGTGGTTTCTGTCTTTTTGTGTTTCCTCCTAGAGAAAAACCTAATGGCTTCCATCCTGGACCTGTCATTGTGTGTTCATTTCTCCTTCCTATCCTCTCGGGCTCAGCCGGCCAATGTGGATGGCCGCTTGTCCTGAGTCTGGTTCTGCTGGAGAACCTCCTAATGAGGGAGGTTTTCTTTTCCACTGTCGCCTCTGTGCTCGCTTAGGATGAGAGACTGCGACAAAGTGATAAGTGATAACTCAAAGCAGTCTGCTGGCTCCTTAGATAAATATTTCTATTAACTGATTTTTATGCATGTGAATGTTTCTGTGCAATTGTCCTGAGACGTCTTCTGTTGTGAATTGGTGATATATAAATAACCTGAACTGAATTGAAACTGAATTCAATCCCAATCCAGATGACTGAGGTTGAATAGAATAAAATAGAACAATGGCAGAAAATATCTGTACAGGTGTGCAAAGTTGGCACATGGTGAGAAAAGTGTAACGATTGGGGCTATACCCAGATACAAGGACCGAAGAGACCAGACACCAAGACTCAAAACGTGTTTATAGTGTTTGTTTACAAAGCGATAAATCATTCAATGAGCCATGGAGGGAAATGGAACCCTGAAGAGCAATGGCAGGAGCGATAATGATGTTGCTGATCTTTCTTAGGATAGAGGTAGGAGTCAGTAGTGGGGAGAGCTGACCCAGTGGTTCCAGGTAAAGGAGTTGTTCATCTGAACAATGGCAGGAGACAGGCAAGTGGTAGTAAGACGTGGAGGCAGCTGAGGAGGCACAGGAGAGCTTGAGGTTCACAAGGGAGAATCCAGGAAACAGGAGGACATCAGAGATTATATACTGTAAGCAAGGATAAATATAAAGTCTGTTAATACTTAAAAGGCTAGAACAGAAATATCATTGGCAGGTAATGCTCCAGCATTAACTGGATGTCCTCTGCAGCCTTTTATGCTCCTCTTGCTCATCAAGCAAATGATCCTCAGGTGTTGCTGATTAGTTAGCTGTGGCTGCAGGCAGATGTAGCGCAGAACTCCCACAAAAAGTCAGAAAATAGAATGGAGTCAATTATTGAATCAGACTGCAACATAAAGGAATTACAAAATGTGAGATTTGAATGCTCTCTCAAATCTCTGTTTCCCAGCTACTGATCTCACATCTCCTTTTTTCTCTCCACTCTCACCCCACAGCTTCATCTTTCATTCAGCTGGACGGTGAGAATCAGTGTCTGAAGGCAGCACAGGACTGTGGCCTGTATGAAAAATGTGGTTCTCTGCGCTCCGAGTATGTCCTGGCCTGCACCAAACCCATGTCTGGGACCAGCCGATGCAACCAGTATAAGTGCCATCGGGCCCTCAGGCGCTTCCTGGAGCGGGTACCTGAAGAGTACAGCCTGGGCGTCCTGTTCTGCCCCTGCACCAACACTCTGTGTGGTGAGAGGAGGAGGAAAACCATTGTGCCCTCCTGCTCCTACCAGGACATGGAGGGTCTGCAGCCAAACTGTCTCCACCAGCAGAGCTTCTGTCGCCGAGATGACCTGTGCAGGTAAAGCCAGTATCTCACAACGCAGTAACAAAATGTGAACAGCATTTATGAAGCAGTTTCCAAAATGTTTCTGCTCTGAACTTCCTTGTGCAAGTCACAGAGCTTGTCTTTGTGTCACAGGAAATGTAAAAAAATTCACAGAAATATAAATAAATAAAAATATTCCCAAATGAGGGCAGCGTGGTGGGCAACTGGTAGAGATGCTGCCTCTCAGCGAGCAGGTCCTTGGTTCAAACCCCGGTCCAGGGGCCTTTCTGGGTGGAGTTAGCATGTTCTGCATGTTAGTGAGTGAGTTAGTAAGTTAATTTGATTGTTTGTGAGTGAGTTAGTTTGCTTGTTTGTGAGTTAGTTAGTTTGTTAGTGAGTTATTTAGTTAGTTTGTTAGTGAGTTAGTTACTTTGTTAGTTTGTTAGTGAATTAGTTACTTT